TCGGACTGCGGGGTCGACCAATCAATCCACTCAGGTCCTTCCCCGTCCTCCCCGTCCTGCGACCACCACCACCATTTCCCGCCACTGTGGTTGTCGATCAGGACGCTTGACCCCCAAGGTGCTACCTAAACGGACACCCACCTCGATTACGAAGTAAAACTACTAGTTCTCTGACCCTGAAAAGGTAAACATGTAAACTGTAGAGTAATCTGAGAATATACCAGACATCTCAAGGCTAGCAATGTCCCTTCGACGGCCTGAAGAAGTACTATGATCAACTGGGTCACGGTACCGTATCAGATCGATAGATAGTCGGATTTCGGAGGCAGTCTCTCAACTGAGTATTGATCAGTGAGATTTCAATCCAGTCTCAGTTCCAATTCCGTTTAGTCGATCCATTGAATTGAACAGTTCGTTCAGCGATGCGCCATGCATTGGACTCTCAAAAGCATTTGCGTAAAAAGTTAAATAGAAAAAGCCGACGTAATTTTTTGCTCAGTATTTGAAATTTTTGACCGTTTCAATTTGTAAGCGGTCCAGTTTTAAGTCGAAGGCAGATAGCGCGATAAATCCCTCGTGGTTGCCTGAAAAAAATGAAAGTGGGTTGCAACTGGTGTAATCGTGAGGAAAAAACGAAAGGAACGCCCCAAACCCATGAAAACAGATCGTTTTCCGCCGGTTGACTTACGCGCTGGGCGAGATTTCACGGTAGTTGCTACCATGAACGTGAACGCATTGTTCTGCTTCTCTGACAAAGAGAAGAGTCTGATGGTGAAAGAATTGCAGCCAAAGTACCGAACTGGAAGGTGAGCGGAGGCACGAAGGCCTCGATAGGACGGGTAAAGCCTTGCTAAGCAGCCACATTTGCGCCCATCGTCAAATAAGCGCTAATTCCCTTCCCTTTGAAGCTTGGCCTCTACTACAGCAAGCATATTTCCCTTAAAAGACCCAATTCATCGTGCCACCTGCCTTTATTGTTGTAGCAACCAATGAGTCTTAAGCGCTAGTGTAGTTGGACAGGAGCATTCTGACGCAGCGCTTGTAACTTTTGAATTTTGAATCAATCAATCATGTGCCATCCTGGGGTTACCTATTATTTTATGCTTCACTGTTATAATTGACCTGTAAATAAATAATTACAAACAGTGTAATAATTCGCCATCGCAGGCTATCCCATTCTCGGATGGAGCGTAGGAGCTTCAGGGCGGGCAAACCGCGCCTTCGTTTGTGCCAAAAGGTACTATGTCAGTATTATTTCTTCTGAATCTTTTCGATGGAGGAATATGTTTCTCAAGGATTTTCACGTCCAACCCTCCCTGGACCAAAACGCCCCGCCATCGCCGCAATAATGAGCGCCCGGGCTTGTTTCCCAAAGCATCCGAATGAGAGCGACTAGCGAGATCTTCGGAGGAAGTACCGGTGGCGCTGACTCGGGAAAAATGGGGTTGTTTGAAGGCGGATTTTATGACGGAAAGGCCTATCGACCGCGAGTCAAAGGCAAGTTGGTGCGGAAGCCCCAGGCAAACGATGGAGAAACGCGACATAGTGGATTGCGCATAGGTGCCCTACCCAAAGGGATGACACGTCACGCTTTCCAGGGACAGTGGCGCCTTATCAGCGGCGTGATATGGCGCCGAAACCTCACTTCCGGTTCGGCGTTACACCTTCATCAGACGTGGAAGGGGATGCAGTAGCAACGTGCTAGATATGATACGGTTATCGTTATCGTTCGATTTTCATGCTGGAGTGCACCTCATTCAATCAGCCGTATCTTCTTATCTTATCGTATTCTTCCATAGGGTGAAGCTCGTCCCTATCTATCACCGATCTTATCGGTTGATAATGCGGAGTTCGTCCGATCCACGTGGAAGCCAGCGTGATCGCTTCCTTCGAAGATAGGCAGTGATGGGCGAAAGACGAAAAAACGAGAAAAAAATGGCCCTAGAAATCGAGAAGGGACCGCTCACTTGCCAGTTGATTTGCGCATCGGGGCGACTTTCCGGTTGTCGCCTTCTTCACGCCAACACTGCTGAACGGGTAGAAGACTCATACAAGAGATGACGCCGAGAGGGGGGGGGGCGTACCGGACCAACTCAGCGTTGCCATTGGAGCGCAGTGGAAGGCCATGCTAGATCACAAGAGGCATTACCTTTCTATGCGTATTGAGTTCCGGTCCGCACCCTTAGAAAGTCCTCCTGTCTTCCCACTAGGTGATTTCCTTGAGGATCTCCCTGCTTAAAGCAACAGTCCTAGCAGGGTGGGCGTGGTCGAAAACGACTGCAATACCCTCGGCCGATTCCGACACGTGCTTCACTTCAGCTCCTCCCTAACGGCTTTCCAAGGTGAGTTTTTGTTCAGTCACACTTCTTACGCTTTTTGACTAGGGGCTGAACAGCTCCGAAGTCTGAATCGGCCGAGGAGATTGCAGCCGTTTCCGACCACGCCCACCCTGCTGGGACTGTTGCTTTAAGGCCGTCAAAGTTGATGATCAATTTCAGAACCCAATCTATGCCTCGTTGGTTTGACCGACTGCAGAGTTACCACTAAATTTTGGAAAATCTTCGAAATTAAGGACTTCAGGGTCAGCACCAAGCGCACGACGTATTTATCAGACATCTCAGTTCTACAGATGTGGTGTTATTCGCACTCAGAGGTTCGAAAATGCATGGAAATTTTTGTACAGCTGCAAAATCTCACCAGTTATTTTTTTCTCGAAACATGATTATTCAGCTGGATTACATCTCACACAGTGGCTCTCATGTCATCGGTTTGTCACCTCCAAAACAGAAATTACCACCTGCATTGGCACGATAAGGAATCGATCAAGCTGTTTGTCGAACAGATGAAATTGTCACCTTTGGAAATATCCAATAGGCATAAATACCGAAGACAATGTACGTGAATTATTTTATTAGTCTTCAAAATCTACTGTAACAACAGTTATAACAATAACAAAGTGCCATAATGTTCAAGTTACTTTCACAAGAAAGCCAGCCCGTGATCGTGGCGCGGGCGGTTACAATGCAGCATCGTACATCGTTTAATGAATTAAACCACATCCCGCGTAACTGCGCGCGTTTCACGCCAGTATCATATGCACATGCCATTCCGCGGCATCAATCTTAAAGGCACGGGTCGCCATCGAATTGGTATGTCATTTTGCTTTGAATATGAAGAAAGAGGTCGAAAGAGGACCGGCTGAATGAAACAAAGCGAAAAAAAGGCCAAAGAAACGTTGAAAATGCATGAAGCTCAAGATCTCTTTCCTTGTAAGGTTGACCGCAGTGGGACGGAGAGATATAGCACGGCAAGGAGAGTAAATACGCGAGAGAGCGCGTCTCACGAGAGCGCACAGACGCCACGTATTCCGCAAATGATAATAATGGCAGCGGTTGCAGCGGTTAAGCTAAACCACTAGCGCCTTTGCAGCCACTTTCGAATTTTCGCAGGGCTCCGATTCATATACGCTTGCGGCCCTGATACCTCATCAACGGAAAGAATTTCTCCAAGGACCAGACTGCAACCCGTGCCTTTAATTTAATATTATATTACTATATGGCATCAACTAACAATTTGAAAACCTGGAATGCTACGGCAATTTCTCCAGCTTCTCTAAGATCTCCCGATTTTCCATCGCCTCGCTCTCTTTCGCTCCTTTAGCCGGTCGTGCCCATTTGTTTGTCCGGCCACCACGCTGCGGTTGTTTTCTGTTGCTGCCACGTCTTGATGAAGAAGATGGCGTGGATTTCGGAGGGATTTTCGGACCACTGGCCGATGACTGCTGCATACTGTAATGTGGTCATTTATCTGCTGATGCAATCAATACGCATAGTTATTGCAATTAATAAAGATATTATAATAGACTCGCTGACCTCAAGCATTGCAGTTCAGCTGGATAGGGATCACGTGAAAGCATAATGAAGATTACTGGAGTGTCAAGTGTGACTTTCAACCTGAATTAGAATAGATACGACTGATTTGAAGAGATCGCAGTGAGAGGGAGGGCATGGTCGTCGGAAGCGCTGCGGTCGCGAAGCGGTCTTTTCAATCCGAATTACTTGTCAGGGCGTGGTGATTGCCGAAATGGCTGCAGAGAGAAGGAAAAAATTATACTGACCTGTTCATTCCTTCGACCAAGTGGATCCCAGTATGTTACTCGCTTAGCCGTGCTGAGAGCAGTCCACTGGTAAAGTTCTTCCTAAAAAACGTCAGCCCGTAATAGGAACAAGAAGTCTTCCATTACCACCAAAGAGGCGGTGAAAAGTGACAGTTAAAGGAACGTTATGGGTTATGAGTTATGTAACGCATGCTCAGTCATGAAGATCACTACCCACTAAAAACATCGAAACGATTTTGAAGGTGTAAGAATTGTAACAGTCCCAAGAAAGGACCTTCTTTATTACTACCCACCTGTCGTTTTCGTTTGTACACTTCCACACATGAAACGCATTTCTCGGCTGCATCGCCCACTCCGCGAAAAATCACACGCCGAATTGTATCGTCCTAAAATGAGCAGTGGGTCCAATAATGGCTGCAATACGTGGAAATTGTGCACGCGAACGCGACGCGTTCAACCCGCTGAGTTGCACATCATCGCTTGCGCGCGAGTTCATCGAATTGCTCCGCGTTTTAAAGCCTAATTCAATGAATGCGCCCACTTGAGGTCAATATGGCAATAAAACCTAACTGTTCTGGTATCTGACGGACATCAAAAAAGTATAAACTGTCTAAAAATGCAAATATGTTGAATACCACCTAGCCCCAGTACGTCTTTTGCTGGACCGCATCTTTCTTTTTTTTCAATAAATAAAACAGCTGACTAAAACTAAATGGGCTACTATGAGTTTCCACTTGCTTTGCCATCTCATTAACTAGGTGGTCTTCTAGGTAATTTGATATCAGTTATCACCAGTATTTCCGAATCAATTCGAAACTGTCTCTATCGCTAATAACTGACTCTTAACGATTAAGAGGTCGACTCAAGATGCTTGCGCTTCCGCCTAGCTTCGCAATTCAAAAGATTCAATCCGCATCGCGTCCGCACGTGTCCCAAACATGCGTCTCAAAAAACGGCTCTAGCAGAGCTGGGACCAGGGTCAACCCTATGTTGTTACTAGTAACAATGGGGGGTCGTACTTGGTTGAGGTTGTAGGAGGGGGGGGGTCGTATTCAGTTTTTCAGGGTGTCGGCTGAAGTCGCGTGACAGTACAATGTGAGTTTGCTAATTGGTTTAAATTTTAGGAATTTGGGTAAGTTTTTAACTAGTTTCAGGGAGTTTGGTGGGTTGAGTGGTACCAGAATTAAATACTATAGAGAGGAATATGGTGGTCGAGGGTCGAAAAGGGGGGTCGTACCCAAGTCCACCTTTGGGGAGGGGGGTCGTAAAAATTTTTGAAAAAGTAAGCAACGATAGGACTGACCCTGGCTGGGACACATGCTTGGGACGCTTGCGATCGCGATGTGGCACTAATTTATACTATTGCTGAGACTTTGAATCAACTCCTCCGAGCACCACCCACCTCGAACGAATTTGTTGACAAAATCTATTATATTCCCGAATTTCGTATTCTTGTGCAGTTCCATCACTTTAACATCGGTTTTCATTGATTCAGGGAACGGCGGCTCAGCGTCCAACACCTCCTCCTCCTCAGATATCACATATTTGTCCATTTAATCTGTAAAATATAATACAAATTTATTAAAAACTCATCCGGATGTGTATGGAACGGTCCTTCACAGGACACATTTGATCTATCCTGTTATTACCCGCTGTGAAAAAAGCATTGTACATTTACAAAAAGCGCGGGAAATTAGCCCTCCTTTCTGAATCGCGCCGCCCCACACGCCCACTCATCTCCCATTGAGCGCGAAGGCGCGTTTTGAGGCATTTGCTACTGTACAATGAATTAATGAATTGTTTAGACTAGGCGATCCGAGCGGCTGCTTCCAAAAAGCGCGCGTTTAGATCGTTTTCTATCCTTCCGAAACAAAATAAGCTTTTTATTAAGACTTCCCTTCAAAATTACCCACTTGGAATAGAGTTGATATTCCAGCTCCTGACTGATGCCTTGAACAGCGCAATTGCCTTTTGGCCGGTGTCAGACTTCGCAAACTCAAACAAAAAATCCACCGACTCACTTGGATCGCAAGCGAATCGAGCGAATCGGTGGATTCGCGAAGTCTGACACCGGCCTCACGCAAGTAAACCTGTATACGGAGGAAAAAACCCCGGTGCGTACAATAAACAGGCAGATTTGTGTGTTATGAACCGAGCCTGCCTACCATAAGAAAGTAATCCCGCAGGTGTTAAGTGCAGGATTCCCGGATATGGCAGACAGACTAAAATCTGGCCTTTTTTGCAGAATTGCCTTTCAACCCTCTAAGTCGTGGTAAGAACTGGTTCCATGGAATAAAAAAGACATGGTTACTCGATATCGGTGAGTTGGGGTGGGCGTGTCACCGGAAGTGACGTGCACTTGATAGAAACTATGTGGATAAGCTGCTTCCAACATACATCGCTGGCTATCAGCAAAGCATGCTGGCAACAGCTTATCCACGCACTTCTATCAAGTGCACGTCACTTCCGGTGACACACCCACCCCAACTTTCGGATATCGACTGTAGAATTAGAGAAAAGTGAAAAAACCTATATACATCCTTGCTTAGACGACCGCTCACGCTACTCATACACTCCTAGATAACCGGGGAGATATGTTAGCCTAAGCGGGCGCTGTGTGACAGCTCCACATTGGCCACTTACAAAAGGCACTGGCACGCCTAGCCGGACGCCCTCATTTGGGCGACTTGGTCAGTAGTATAGCCATCGAATCAACATGAGGCGATTCAGACTTTGCCAATTCGCGCTTCAAAAGCGCGATTCGCTAAGCGTCTGGCGGTCGCTCCGCGTCTTGAATCACTCAGTTGGCTGCGTCTCCGCAACGCGACTGCGGACAGCTAGCGAATGCGCGCGTCCCAAAGTCTACTACGTAGGCCTGATAGTTCCTAGCAGCTGCCTAGACTTCTAAAATATATTCGAAGAAACGCGGTACGTTCCGAACGTTTTCTTTTCCTCAAATACTATAAGAAAATAATTTATCCACCGTTTACAATCACAAGCATCAATTCATAGCATTCACAGTAAGACAAAAGCAACACTTTATGAATATTTCTCAATATAACTTGCATAAACTAATCTACATAAACTAATCTACTATTAATTAACTATGACGACATTATTCTCGACCGAATATACGAAATCAACAACCGTTTAATCACAAGGTTGCAATCTTGAAATAATGCTCCAGAGGTGATAAGTTCTCTATAAACCTACGCGTGCGTTGCGGCCGATTCATCCACGAAATCACTAACAACACTAGTAGGTTTGTAGAGGTCTACCACGTCCTATGAGTATTGTTACAGTACATTTATAAACTATCACATTATACACCGTTGAAACTTATATACAAAACATTTCTTTCATACTACAAACATGACCAAATTAAATCAATTCGCTGTAACTGTATTGCGCAAAAATATCGTTAAAAGCATGAAACTAAAAATTTAACTGGTATAAGTAGAAGAAAGCGAGAGCATATCACTAAATGAGTGAGACAATAACTCGAGTTCTCATTACGTGGGGTTTGAGCGCGCGGTCGCGAAGCTGCTAACTCGTCATGACTTGAGAACATTGGCAAACACCACACATCGCTGCGTATTAGTGAGTTTCCGTGTTTTCTTTTTTCATCAAATTTGATACTTCGCTACCGCCTGCTCAAATTCTCCCGATAAAAATGCACCATAGACTCTGTAGAATGGGCAACAGCAATAAAACCTTCCGATATAAATTACGGGCAAGGAATAGCGTAACGGAACGAGGAAAAAAGAGCAAAAGGGAGCTCAAAGAACAAAAATAACAGGCTGTTTAAAAAATGCAATCCATCACAACACCAAATTCTGCTTTAGCTACCAAGGGACTTCGCTATTACTGGCCCTTCATGAAGGCAATGTGGCGTTCCTTGATCTTCGCAATAATCTTCTCTTCGATTTCAATACCACTTTTCACTTGCTCCTAAATTAGAAGCGAAACAATATTGGAGAAATAGTTTATCGATAAACATAAAACGGATCAGAGCAGAAGTGGTGTAGCAGCAAATGGCGCCACTTATCAGCACACGGATGGGGAATCAAATACATACGCATGGGATCAGACCAACCAAGCCTTGCATCGTTCTGGGGTCAGTGATTAGTAACAGACTTATCTGGGAGTATAAAACCACTGACTTGTACATCGCTGACCCTTACATATTATTGCTTGGACTGAATCGCACTCAAAAGGCCACTACAACTCTGGGTAGAAGCCAAGTGCAAGAAAGGGTTCAACAACGTCAACGGTTTATTTTTTTCAACTACGACAATAAAAGGGACAGCACGATGCTAAAAGACAAATCGACAGGATACTGACGCAGCTAAAGAGCAATTCTAGCCTAATGTATCCCCAAAACTGGAAAGGCATCATTTCTTCTAATTGAAACCTGGTGCAGAGGAGGTTGGCGATTCAGCGGCGATGCAAATACAGTCGGAAGCATATTTATATTTCAACAAAGTCAATAAAATATCTT